TTCCCGCTCGATATCGCCTCCGTCGTGAATGATTCCTCCATGTTGACTCTTTTTTCTTTTTTTTTTGTTCACGTTTCTGGGGCCCGCTGCGTAGCTGTAGTCCAGGTTAAAGATTTTGGCTGCTCAAGGTTACCATCAGCGTAGCTTTTCAGCTACTGCAACTCGCCTAACCTTCTCGCCTTTCCTTATTTCTCGTTTTCCTATTTCAAGTTTTCTCTCATTCTTCCAATTTTAGTTCCGAAGATATACGATTTCGCGTTCTAGGAACTTTATTCGAACTTCGAATTCCAATTCGAGAGGTTCTCCGCTCTGCTCTGCAGGGAATTTCTGATTACAATCGAGAGACTTCTAATTTGGAAATTTCTAATTCAAAATTCTCCGATTCTTACTTCAATTTCTCCAACTGACAGATTTTAAATTCCGATCCCAATTTTAACTCGTACAGTTTATGACAGAGAAAAAGTTCATTATTTCTACATTAACCCTTTGAGTTAAGTTGATTAGAGTATCAATAATTAAGTTCCAACAGGTTGCAATATACTGAATAAACATAATAGACAATTTCTAATTTCTTAATTAGGATCCTCGTTTGATATTGAACTTTAATTTTGGTAATTTCGAGCGCTCAAACGGCTAGAGGAATCCTTGTTCATCCCCACCATGGCGCTCAACTAGTCTGCAAGAGTGGGGGGATGGCTGCTCGAGTCATAGTGGGGAGAGTCTCCTTGAATGCTAGCTGATTTCAAACGAACTGTATTCGTCCATATTCCGCAGAGAACGCGAATGTAAATCACGTCTTGCACCGAGTAACATTCTGAGGCATACTTTCATGCATAAAGTACGCCGTGAAATGAAAGTTGTGTTTCTATGGCGTCTCTATCTACACAATGATTCGATGTGCCTTTGAGCAGTCAGAATGTTTTGAACCGAGCTATAGCTAAGATCAGCCACTGCAGTGAACTCTAGAGAGAGACTAATCGGACGATGGAATAAACTTCGAGAGTTCAAGTTCGTGAAATGACATCTAGATGACGACTTCTAAGTCCTAGGAAAAGAATCATCGTAACGATCCAAATTTTCTCGATGGAATTTTCTTTCGTTGAATGGAGGAAGTCTATTCGTTCACAGAAGAATGAACTAATTGATCGAATTGTCGTTTATCGCAAAATGCTCTCTTTGGCGACTATGATGAAAGGGGAGCGAAATGAAGAAGAGAATTTCTACGATGACTGCCGATCCTAAGTTTATGACCAAACGATCAAGCAAACTTGGAAATTCACGCTATCTATCTTCGATCAAAACGCAAGGCGACTAATGCAGAGCGATAGAAAAAAAAAACCTCCTGGTTTTTGGTCTCTCGACTTTGGAACTTGAATTTGGTACTAAATGATAGGTGGAACGTTAATCATGGCAAATTTTAGCAGGTTTTCAGTCGGTGATTAGTTCGTGAGATATGAAATATATATCAAAGTCCATATCTACATTAACGAGTTCGTACAGTCAGAAAATGAGCTTGAACTTAAATCTCGAAAATCTACATGACATAATAATTCAATATATTTTCATGTCGTTCACGTGTATTATACATTTTTAAACAAAATAAAATCGTTGTTCAAATAGATTGGGTATTGAATCTACTAGAATAAAGTTTAAATTCTTTTAAATATATACATACTGACATACACACAAATATACATGTACGTTGATATACACATACTAGAATAAATCAATGTCGAATCATCGTCCAGTGCGACTACAAAAAGGGTTAATATTTATCGGTCCTTTTAAATATTGCTACACACATATTATTTAGTACCAAATTCCCTTCCAAAATCAATTATATTTTTCAATCACTCTTTGCTAAAGCTTACAATGCTTGATCTACTTATCGTTCAAGGTTGCCAAGCTGCCACAGACGTCTCTCTTCCAAGAGGCTCTTCGTCCCTCATTAAATCTCTCCTCACGAACCACACATTTGTGTAATTCCAACATTCTGACTATGGTTCGACGTAAAATAAAACGAAAAAGAGAAAAAGAGAGAAAAAAAAATGAACAGAGACAGCCAGCTGCTCGGTACGATTTATCTCAACGTATTTATGTATATATATGTATATATATTGTTCAATTTCCTAGACAGTGTAACGTTTGCAACAGCGCAAGAACAACAATCCCTACGTGAACAATGTTCTAACAGTTGATAAAATATTTAACAATAACAACAGTAAACAGCGACGCGATGAAACACGTCGTAATTGATACATCGCGAGAGCTTCTTCTATAGGTTATTCTACTCGCCTTGAGCAGTAGATCCGCTAGGTGTCTGATCAGACGTCCTCGAACGCTAATTTTCTCGTTGCTACCGGTCGGTTGGCGTTCGCGTCGTGACTAACACACGCTCGTTTCTAAATCGAGCGGCAATTTACGCGTGTAGAATGGAAACACAAATAAAGGGGGGAAACGTGAACGAATAGCCCGAATATGCTTTCGTTTTTCGTAAGACGTATATGCACTTCTGATTCTTATTTTTCCTTTTCTTTTTTTTTTTTTTTTTTTTTTTTCTTCAAACGAAGGACTCGCATTACATCATTTTTCACGTGATTTTTGTTCAAGATGGTTAACTGAAGAGATGGGAACGGATCGTCGGTTTATTTTTAATGGTTTGTTGAATATAGATACTCGTGTTATTTTACTCTTGCGGGAATAAAATGTAGCAAGAATGAATATTTTCTTCATTGTTGGAAGAAATAATCACGGCGATGTTATAAATTAGTTCTTCCAAAATTATCATAAAGATTGTTATACCACGTCACGTTACAGAGAAGGGATATTGTAAATAATCTTGACAAATGACTTTGGAATTTTCTATCATCGTTGCCAGATATAATTTCTTTTATGACAGTTTCTTCAGTAGTAGCGGAAATATAATCGGTATAACTTCGATGTAATTTCACAGAACCTGTACGAATTTCCGTGATTGCAAAAAATTCATAGAAAACTCCGATACCAAAATTTCACTCGCAATAAAGATCCTTCTACTTCCAAACTCCTTTTCACTTTCTTATCTGTCATACAAACCTCCCTATTAACAAACCATTAAAAAAAACCACTCTCTCCATTTCACCTATCATTCCTCCAGAAAGTTTCGTCAACTATTCATTCGCAAACCTCTTTTTGTACACGTGTACGAGGCCTGACGAGACAGAAGTCTTCCCGAAAATTATTTCTAGTCCAAAAAGAAAAAGATAATAATAAAATAAAATAAAATAAAACGCGGACATCGTCGTGCAGAACGAAGAGAAAAGGGAAGAAGGGACGATTCGATCTCCCTTGCGTGGCGAAATGGGCAGGGCTACGCGATTCGTTTTTGCAGGCCGATCAGAGGGAGGTAAGCAAAACGCATCGTAATCCTTTATTAGTCGGAACGAGAAGAGGCTGGAGAGACAGTAAATCCGAAGTACGAGTTAGCGGAAGCTGGAACAGACACAGGGTGCAAAAGCTCGGCTCGAAGCTCGTCACTGAGCCCCTCGTGGTCATTGGCTTCTCCGGTTCGTCGCCCTCTTCCGGTGCCCTCTCGCTGCAAAATAAGGGAAAGCTCGTGGGAACGAGGTTATCAGGGGCTTCTTGCCATTCGCAATCAGTCGTTTTCTCCTTTTCGACGAAATTGGCAAGACCAGCGTCTCGTTTCTTTGTGACTTTTGCGCGTGCAACGAATCCTCTGGTGATAAAAATCTGGTGCTGGTGACAATTTCAGATTCTTCTGGCGAGAGGGAACCATCGAGGTGCTGGATGTTCTATTTCTCTCGTTGAGCTTTTTGAAGAAATATTTTTCTTCTCTCGCGAATTTCTTAGGAAACCTCTTATCGTTGAAGTATTTGTAATTTTCGTTGTCTATGACTTGTAAAATTTCATGGGTCGCGGATACTAAGTATTCGTTGAGTATATTACAAGACGTTGCATTTTTGTTGACTTTCAATTGTTACAGCTACAGTAATTGTTGCGATAATTTTAGTTAAGATTGGATTGATTTCATAAAATTAAAGCCGCTAGTATAGAGTAACTGAGAAGAGTAAATTATCGTAGTTTCTCACGAACAAACAAAAAAATAGTAGTAATAAGTACCAATAAATAAATTTAAACAGACGATAGAAGAAAAAAATCAATCAAATTTCTCGAAGAAAGAAATCGATCAATCTACGATTTGTTTCTACATTTCACGAAAGAACTATTCTTTAATGACATTATTCTTGGACGGCAGTCATTCAAGTACAAAAAGAAGAATAATTGTACAAATATACATACGTTAGTAAAAAACATAACGACATATATATTTGCAAATATATTTTTCTTCCCATTTAATAAACACAACAGAGCAAAAATTATCTGCTATATTTAATAAACAATATTAATATTAATAAAAAAATTGATAACCGACAGTAATAAAAATTTACTCCCCAAATTTGTCCAAAAAAAAAAACACCAAAAATATTATACACTATCGAAGACTGAGAACATAACGCGAACATAAAAAAAAAAAAAGGAAAAAAGGTAGGAAAGAAATATTAAATTACAAGTCGCTATGTCAAATCACAAGTACTAAAACGCCGTGTGCAAAGTATAGTTTTCTGGAGTGGCTATATTCAATTAGTCATTGAATTTTCATTACAGCAGAAGGCACGAGAGAACCAGTAGTAGTGGCGCGGAATAAACGGGCCAAAGGTCAGGAGACCGGAAGCCGCAAGAAGCAGCAGCCGGCAGCTCCAGCAACGGGCGAACTGGAGAAGCCAATCTGTATCGGAGGACGTCTACACGTGACACACGTGGAATATACACGTGTATATATACACATATATATATACACATATATATATGAAATATATAAATATATATACACATGTATGTAAATCTAGACGGAGGTACGTAATATATGTATACACATGAACACGAGACGTCGAAACGCGCGTTATATACACGTTTCTCGGCCATCGATATGCAAGGTTTACCTTCGGGTTCTTTGGCAATGACCGTGCTGCTCCGGTCGACGCCGCCCTTCTTATCCTCTGTATAACAATACACACATACATCACGGATATGCGATTTTTTTCTGTTTTTTTTTTTTTTTTTTTT